GATTCCGCGAATGGGTTTCTTCTGTGGGCTATCCCTTCCACAACAGGGCGATGTTGCTTTCGTTCTGTTTGGACTGCAAGCGTGTGATCGAGAATTTTAAACTGCTCATGGGAGCTACGACTCTGTTCATCTCTTCTCCCCGTTATGGTTTGAGATCCCTGAAGGTAACTGATATTAACACTCTGGATCTAGTATTTTAACCTTCTGTCATCTGCTATCAAAGATAAACCAAATAGAGCTCTTCCCCCGCACAGATATCCATCACCCTAAAGTGATAGATTCAAAGGATTTCTAAATAGACTCTATTCCCACCCTGCACTTATCCATACATGGCTGTCAAAATATCCTTAAAATGTTTGCAGCTGACAGCTTCATGTTTAAGGGTAACTCCAATTAAACATTTTATGATGTATATAAACACACACATACATATATGTGTATGAAATGGGTTTTCCTAAGGCTTTTTTCAAACATCCTTAGCGCTTCATCCTCCCCACAACCCCCTCCTCTACCCTACCATCCCATCTGTCTCCATGTCCCTTGTTAATCAGAATGTTCCAGAGACTCCAAAAACAATATAGGCTATTGCTATTGCTCTTGGTTGCCCAACGGACCTTGATGGTAAGACCCTGTTGCTGGGGACACGACACACGTTTGTCATAGAGCATGAAGAGATCAAGTTGGTAGTCACCAAGAAGCTTTCTCCCTGCTCGTTAGGCCTAAGAGTGCAAGAAAGTGCTGGTGCCGAGGGAGGGGGAGGTCATCAACAGCCTTATCCAAGTGTGAACCGTGTGAAATGTGAAAATGATGTAGGGGACAAAGTATGCCCATGTGTACAATAGTGGCACCAGAGTTATAGAGTAACCAATCACTTTCTGCTTGTATTTAAGGTGCTCTCACTCCATGGGAGGAAAAACATGCCTGGTACGGCAACTCTGGCCAAGAAATCAGGGAGCCCACAGGCCCCAGGAGTGAACCTACTACTATTAGAGAAATGGAAATAGTGTTAAAAATGTCCTCTAGATTTCTCTCTCTACCCACACTTTAGTGCACCTCTCAGACCTCATCAGAGAAGTTACTTTGGGCAGTAGATGGCAGTTCATGTAGGAACTCACAACTAGCAAAATGTGGTAGCCACAGAGGCTTCCTAGTGAGACCTTACTCAAGGTCAGAGAATCTGAGCTTGCTTTACCCAGCCGGGCTGCCTAATGGGATGATTTGGCCATGGGCATGGTTACCAGATGTTTTGAAGTGTCTACACTTGGCTGTACAGTGTGCTTTGATCTTGAAAGGGGGAGGTCTTTTGCCTCTCCCCTTGGCATTCTATATAAAGCTAATGAGAATAAAGGATGGGGTGACTGGGTATTAACCCAGGGCCCTCCCGAAGCTGTCTTGTGTCTCTGTCTTTCTTATCCTCTCTGTCCTTCTATCATTTCCTCATTCCTTTCTCCTCCACCCAAGAACCCTTCAACAGGTCGGAGCTGGACTCTGACAGACTCCCACAGTAAAAGTGAAGAGAATAAGAGACTGAGAAGTGTTCAACTACAAATCGGACATCCTATCACACCTCTCCCCAAAGCTTGGAGACCATCTTGAAAGAGAAAGCAGAAAGATTTAAAAGCCAGAAGTTAAAGAGGACCAGAGCAGAACAGTGTCTTCCAGAGATAACATGATTTCTACATCCATGCACTTACAGCCCACACATGATCAAGGCTGTCAACGTTCTGGTGGGAAGTGGGAAGGGCTTCCTGAGCCTCCCTCCATCCCTGAAAGATGTGGATACTTGGTGGCTTCTGAGGAGAGGACAATTTTCTTTAAGGGCATGGCTCCTGATAGTTTGACCATGGTCCAGTGTATACAGATAGCCCAAATTGGAGTCAGTGTGTTATTAAATTAAAAAAAAAAAAAGGACAAGATTTGGAGGGGTGAGGAACTAGCAGATCTGGGGGGAGTTAGGGGAGGAACTGGAGTAATGTGATCAAAATAAACTGTATGAAATTATCAAAGAATTAATAACTTTTTTAAAGAGTGGATGACTTCTCTTACACGCATATATTGTCCATCAGCCTGAAAACCTGAAGAGATTCCTTGTAAGGGGCCTCAGAGTTGGGACAGAACACACCCATCACTACATTTTCAAGACTAAGGATATTTATTACCCCAGAGGTAAAGAGGAAGAAATTCACTGGGTCAGTCCCAGAATCAATTGGAAAGTTCTAGAGCTAGACTTAAAAAACAGGAAGGCCTGCGGTGTTTATCAGGCTGAGGAGAACAAAGCCAGTCTTCCCCAGGAGTAGCCAGGTGACATGGTTACCAGCTCTTCCCCCCCCCCCCACTAGCTCTCACTGCTTCCCCTTGATAACCGCCCTCCCTCTGCACTGTGCGTTTGATGGGGCCAGACAGGGGTGAGGTCTCACCTCTGTAACCTTTTGCAGTGGGAGACAGAACCCCAAAACTCACCCAAACACCAAGACACTCATAGGACGTTGGATACTTTGGAGTTTGGTCTCATGGTCACATGACTTGGTTTGGCCAATGGCTTATCAGCAGGAACGACATAAGCCATAGGGGCACCGCTCCTGGGTTTATGAATGTGGAATATGAAACCATTAGTAAAAATTAAGCAACTCACTTCTCTGAGTGGTGGGCAGAGTCCCTAGGATTGACAGTGAGACCCTCACTAGAGAAGTCTGACACAGAGGATCTTTCCCAGGGTGTAGACCTTACCTGTCAGCTGTACCTGAGTAAACCAGTCAGGACAACCCCACCCAAAGGTCTTCCCGCTGAGACTAAAGCCAGGAGCCTAAGGAAGTTTGAAATTACCTTTTGGTCTGTTTTTCAGACAGAATCTCCTTCTGTAGTTGGTGCTGGCCAGGAGTTTACAATCTTCCTACTCAGCCTCTCAGAAGAAAGGTTACAATCCTTTTTTGTTGTTGCTGTTTTTGTTTGTTTGTTTGAGCCAGGGGTTCTCTGTGTAACAGTCCTGGCTGTCCTGGATCTCGCTCTGTAGACCAGGCTGGCCTCGACCTCACAGAGATCCTCCTGCCTCTGCCTCCCGAGTGCTGGCTGGGATTAAAGGTGGCGCCATCTTTACAATCAACAATTGTTAAACGTAGCTTTGGAAAACAATCTTCTAGTCCTTCTCCCTGACCAGACAATTGGCAACTTTGTTTCTTTTTTGTTTTGTTTTGTTTCAATCTTGATGGAAGCACTCAGCACTAAACCGCCTTGTGAGTCTTACCAGGTCTGTAACAGAACTACAACGGAAGCCGTCACACCATGTGTCGAAATGACACGCTAGCATATGTCTTCCCCTCCTACCTTGACAAAACTTTGCTGAAAACAAACAATGACAACAGCGTGGAAGGATAGTCGAAGCCGTGAGATCTCAGATTACTGAATTCTAAAGGACACCATTTAAACATTGGAGCCGTGCTCGGGTCTGTTGCCCTGAGGGGGTTTCTGAAGGAACGGTTGCTTTACCCTGAAGTTTCTTCCCCAGATTGTATCTTGAATCTTTGTATTTGTCAATAGATGTTGAAAGAAAACAAACAAACAAACAAACAAAACCTGAAACTTTTGTTTATGTTTAAAATGTTGGTGACAGTTTGGGAACACACTGCATGGACCAACATTTTATGGGTGCGGCCGGTATCTCTAAGGCTTTGATTGAATCAGTGGCCACCTGTGTTCAGTGTCGGCCATATAAACAGACTTTGCCTTAACGACTTTATTTCTTTTTAAGGTACTAGTGAAATGGAGGAGAATAAAACCAGAAATACTCTATCTGAAAAGTTCCTATGAGCCAAATCCTGTGTCTAGAACAACTCAAATCTCCTAGCTACCACATTAAAATATAAAGGAAAAAAAACGGTGAAATTGACATTAGTGATATATTTTATGGAACACAGCACAACCAAATATTATCCTTTCAAAATACAACCAATAGGAAATACGGCCACGCTGTTTTTAGTAATATATAATGCTTTCGTGTGCATACTGTTTAATACGTCTATCTAGATTTTACACATACAGCAGTCTGTATGTCTCAGTTTGGAATGTCTGTGCTTCTCACACTCTGTGGCTCCATGGGTCTGGTGTCTCCACCGTATTGGCCAGTGGAGAGCTGTAGACGCTGCTTTGGAGGCATTAGTGGGCAGCTGTGGCCTGCTGAGGGGTCGGTCTCAAAGTGTGGTCAGCAGAGTGCCTTTGTTAATACAGATTCCCAGGCCAAACCTCCAAAGTGTGATCGGGAACCTCAGAGGGTAGTCCAAGAAACTGAGCGGTTGGCTAGCAGAAGACCCCAACGTCAGTTCCAAAGTCAGACCATTGACCGAGAGGCAACTCCCTGAAGCCACGGAGTCGGTATTTTTGTTTTGTTTTTGTTTTTAATGTCTTTGTGACCTGGATAATTTGATCAACTCAGAATAAACCAGGAGTTGATGGTTGCCATGGTATTAAAAACTCGGCTGCTGCCAGGCAGTAATTAGCAAAAACTCCTCCACCTGTGCGGTATGAAGCAAGTCATGGTAACTCTTCCTCCTGGCACCTTTTCTCAGAAAGGAGCGGTGGCTCTAATCTATGTCACTCTGCTCCCCCAGGGGACAAAAATCTTCGTAAACAGGAGTTGAGAGTTTTGCCTTTCTCTCCCTGATCCTGGGCTCGTGAGCGCTGTTTCCAAATCCCGGCTATAGTTTCATTTGGATCGAACACGGACAGGGTGGCATTTTGTTGCTGGGTCTGGATCTCTTTCTCCAACTGGATGTTTTTGGCCTTGCACAATATCCCAGAAGGAGGGGAGCTGGAGAGGCTGTGAGCTCATGTGTACCACAAACCGCGCAGGCTGAGTTCCCAAATTCAGCCTGCCCTGAATTCGCCACACATGTCCCCACCAGCAGCAGCGTGAGGCTGCATTCTCAAACACTTTGATACAGTTCTTTCTCCAAGGACAGAGGGTTCTGGAAGCTTCCTTCACTTTGTGGTATTCGGAACTTTGCTAACTACCATTGACCTGAGATCCTCACAGTTTTCTAATATCAGGAGGAAATGTCTTTCTCCGTGTTTTTAAAGGCTTCATGTCGACAACCTAATTCTCCCGGGGAGGTGTGGCTGGTGATCTTAAACACTTGATATTCCGAGGGAAAAGAATCCGTGGTTGAGTTGCCAGGGAGGGGGAAGCGTGGGGCAGCCAGCCAGGGACCTTGGCCTGGTCCCTTCTTTCTTCCTCTTTCCCCTCCTCCTCCTCTTCCTTTTACCACTCCCACTTCCTGTTATTAAGCATCTTCGCGTCAGTTTCCCCGGGGCTCCCCACCCCCTTCCCCAATAAGGTCACAGGAATTCCCAAAAAACAATTCTATGATAGTAATTACATGTCTGGAAAACGAAGCCCTCGCCTGCAGGTGGTACCCCTTAACAGCTACCGTTATTACTGTTATTATTGTCATTGTGAGATTATCACATGGTATGGAGCCTTCGCTTTCAAGGACTGAATTCTCTTCCTTTGGTTTTAATGCCATGTGGGCTTTGTGTGTATTTGTTGGCTTTTCTACCAGGCATTTTCTTCTTCCTTTTTGCATCTCTCTCTCTCTCTCTCTCTCTCTCTCTCTCTCTCTCTCTCTCTCTCTCTCTCTCTCTTCTTCTCCCCTTGTATCCAGAGTTACAGGGCACAAGAAAGAATTCTTAAAATATGTTAAGGAAGACGTTAAGAAAACAAAATAATGCTTTCTAGGTAAGCAATGTCAAATGGTGGAAATATTAATGAAAGGTGTGACATTTTAATAACTTTTCTTCCAGAATTTGAGATCCCATTACACACCAGGCATTCCTCTGGGAGTGCACAGGATGGGAAACATCTCTGCCCCGGCATAGGAGGCAAACAGTAAGTGAATATAAGCAAAAAGATGTCTGCAGCGATGAACGCAGTTGGGCAGGAGAGCGGAGGACAGGCCAAGGACCAGAAGGGGACAGGAAGGTTGACTAAGGCAGCCAGGTAGATTCTACTGAGAAAGTGACCTTCAAGGGAAGAACCCCCCCAAAAAAAGAAAGATAAACAAACTTAGGGAACATCCCTCCCAAGACGGAAAAGCAGATGTCATTGCTCAGGACAAGAGTTGTCTGGAACTTTGTGGACTCGAATTCCCAGTGGATCGTCACAGAAAGGAAAGAAACAGCATGGGGAAGGGCGCATTTGCTGAACCGACAGCTGGCGGGGTTGTTTTTAACCCTTACGACTCTATCTTTGCTCAGTAAAGGAGACAAAATGTGGTGATGGGTAGACTGGGTCTTACTTAATATTTCACTGGTAACAGCGCGAGGTCCCCAAATCGAAGCCTTCCAGAGCAGATACAGGGAAAGAAAGGAAGGTAACAAGACCCAGTATTTATCCTGCAGCGGGTGTCTGAAAGGTTACTTGAAGGCCCTCAGCCACAGCAGCTTGTGAATACAAATCAGATCCCATTAACCTGAGCGCTCTGGGTTCTATGATACCTTGGCCTCACCAACTTACGGAGAATTACCAACTCACTTCCCGCGTCTCCTCATCCGTATAGCCTGTGGGTTGAGGCAGGGGCTTAGAAGGTGTCCCCTATGCACTCAGGCATCAACTGCCACGGCTTCTTTGCAGCAGCCAGCGGCTGTCTCTCTTGCTGAACCCTGTACTCTATCCTCTGCCTTGCAGGCCATTGGTCAATCTGCGGCTCCTACCTTCTGCTGCTGGGGACCCGAGGAGGATGGGAGGTACAGTACTGTCAACGACCCCAGCTTCAAATCCACATGGTCCAGCCTAGCACAAAGGGAGAGAGACGGACCTCAGTGCTTTCCTCCCTGAGTAGCATGGCGGCTGCCCCCAGAGGCCTGGGTGGGTGGTCCGGCTCCTCTTCCCCTGAGGATGCTGGAGGGGTCACTGGAGCAGAAGGGTTCACAGAACATCCCCCAAGCTGCTGTTCCGAACCGGCCTTCTTTCTCCAGCACCCGGGTCCACTACACATTCTAAATCCTTCTTCCTTTGAAGTCAGATTTACCATAAGGGCCCCTAGCACGATCATTTCCACGCCATTCCTACCTCACCCTTGAGCTCTCTCTCCTAACTTTCCAAACCCATCCCTTCCTCCAGTCTGCCAGACTGAGTTGTCCTGAAACCTCTCTAACCACATCCCCTTAGAGCCCCTTAGCATCCAGAGAAGGCGGAGAGGGTGGCGGACCACATCCACTTAAGATCAGCTTTTCTTTAGTTCTTTTTTTCTCACTTTTGTGTCTTTGGTATTGGAGTCCTTTTTATAATTGATGGAATATAAAATTTTATACATATATACATAATATATCTCCCATATTTATATATGGGAGATACACCCCATTATGTCACATTTCAAAACCATTGGTGTCTTAGATGTGATGTGGTTTTCCCTGGGGGGGGGGGGGGGGGGGGGGGGAGGGGGATGAGGGGAGTCATGTCAAGGGGGTTCTCTGCATGTCAGTCTTGCTCATCCCTCATCCCCTAGGTGGTTTCTGGATCCACGTGGCTCATTCGTTATTTGACTCAATCCTCACAATAACTCCAAGGCTATTTATTATTCATTAGTCCTATTTTATATGTGAGACAATTGATTCGAACAAGTTCAGTGGAGGCCCAAGTCCACAGGGTGGCTAAGAGGGAGAGACAGGAAGTAACCCTGTTTGATTGTGTGTCCTCTAAGCCCAGCACTTTTCCTTCTCCATCCTGAGCTTCCCACAGGAAAATGATGGTGCCAGGAGCCAGAGTTTCACATCCAAGCTGGCAGAGTGTTGTGATCGTTGTCTTTGAAATACACCTTCCAGTCAGGCTGCAGTCACCTTTGTGGTGACCTTAGCCTGCAACCCCGGGATGTGTGTGATGCACCCCCCTTCTGTCTCTTCTGCTCTACTGCCTGTCCTTCAGGCATCATGGCTAACGACTCGTCGCCCAACCTCATTCTTAGGGTAGTTCTAGTTACACTTCTGCCGTTCAGATCTCAGTTCATTTGGAGTCAGTTTCTATGTGGTCCGAGATAAGGTCCAGTCTCCTTTTGCTTGTATGTTTGGTGCCTGATTTGTGAACTCCTTTCCCGGTTCTCCATTCTACCCCATCGCTCTGTCTATGTGCTGATTTTTATACTGTCATGGTGCTGGTTTGTTTTTTTTTTTTCTGTTATTAAAAACGTTTCATACACATGTATAATATAATGTAATCATATTCACCCTCCCCACTCCTCTGGCGATGTGGCATCTTTTGTGGCTCCATATGAATTTTGGCTGGGTTTTTTGTTTGTTTGTTTGTTTGTTTGTGTGAAAAATGCTTTAGAATTGTGATTAGAATGGCATTGAATCTATAGACTGAGTTAAATGGTCTGAGCATTTTAACAATATTAAGTGTACCGTCCATGGTCATGGGATAGTTTTCCTTTGTTTGTGTATTCCTCAATTTCTCTCATTATCAGTGGCCGCTGGTATCCAACAAGCAAATATTTTACTCTGTGTTTAAATTTATCCCTAGAAATTTCAGATGCTGGTATACTAAATTTTTTTCCTTTATGTTTCTCAGATATTCCATTGTTACCATGTAGAAACACCCCTGGACTTTTGTGTTAATTTAAATTTCATCTAAATAAAAAGCTTCCAAATGACCAAGAAAACAATCAACAAAATGAGGAGGTAACCTGTGCTACAGGAGAAAATATTTGCCAGCCATCAATACGATAAAGTGCTGAGAGCCAAAATGTTCACAATAAGCAAGATACAGAAGCAACCTAAGTATATCCTGATAAATGGAGGATAAAGGAAATGTCACACACACACACACACACACACACACACACACACACACACACACAAGAGAGAGAGAGAGAGAGAGAGAGAGAGAGAGAGAGAGAGAGAGAGAGAGAACGCACACAACAAGCAAAAAGGAAATAATGTGTCATTCTCCACCACACAGCTAAAACTAGAAAGCACTCTGTAAAGTGAAATAAGCCAAGCACAGAAAGACTAACATTACACGATCCTGTTTACACTCGGAATGTGAAAGAGCAACCTGGCAGAAGCCGAGAGTAGAGTCAGTGTCAGGACTAAGGTGGTGTAGGGTGGGGTGGGGGGTGGGGGGGGAAAGAAAGATGATGTCAAAGGTCAAAGGCAAAAGTTAGGCAGCAAAAGAAAGTTCTGGAAATGCATTGTACAGTGTGATAGCTGTAATTAATAGAGAGTAGATCCTGAACATTAACACCAGGGAGGAAAAGGGATATGCTAACTAGCTTGAGCATGGTGATCAACTTGCGATATATGCATACATCTATATCTAAAGTAGATCTTGCATGTTTGCAACTGTTATTTGTCAACGATTTCTTCAGCAAGTCTGGGAAATCATAAAATAATGCGATGAAGGTAAAATCACCAAGCTATGCAAGATATTTCCTTTATTGTGGCCTTAATCCCCAGAGGTGGCGAAATTCAGAGTTCTTCAAACCACCCTTTAGGGACTGTGGCTAATTTCCTTATCGGTTCCATATGTTTTAGTAATGTAGTCTCAGGGGTTGGGAATCAACATTCCTCTGTGCCCCAGTTTCCCTGGCTTCCAAGAGGTTCCGAGTCAACCGGAGATGGATGTTAGCATCCTGGTTTGCGAAGTTTCTCAGAGTCCTCGGAGACCGCTTGCTCACCGACTTTTCTCAACGGCTTCATCTTGTTAAACTCCTTGACTGATTTTGCAGCAGGGGGCTCGGGGCCCCGAGAGACTGGAAGGTACTCATAATTTATGAAAGTCATCGCTGTGCCGATGCCCCCTTGATGGCTCACATGCCAATCCCCGTCAACACACCAGAAGGGTTTAGAGGGCTTCTCGGAGAGACTTCCCCCTTCCTTTTATGTCAACCCACACGATGCTTCAGTCTCCATGGACAACTTTCTGCTCTCAAAATGATTAAGTATATGGCAGGTCCAAAGGACTCTGGGATCTACTGAGTCTCCGGTCCCTGAGATGCTCCCTTCTTCCTGACCAGTCTTCCTTCGACACCCGCCTAAATGAAACAGTCTAAAGGGGAGAGAAGTTAATGAACGTCATAGAGAAGACTTCTGGAGTTTGGGAGTCAGAAACCTAGGTTGCCGTCGTCCAATCCTTCCACTTATTTCCAACAGATGTCCCCGCCACATTCCCCACCCCGACCCCTCCGGAAAGGGACTCTGGCTTCATATTGTGTCATAGTCTCCAGGACAGCAGCCCCCTCTCCTGAATGAAAACACATTTGGAAACACCAGCATTGACCCAAAAGGAATGACGCTACAATTCGTGATATTCTTTCAGCGCCTACCAAGTGCATGGTGGGAGAGCCCTGTATTAGCTTGGAACTAATATGCAGAAAGTTACTTGATTTTTAAAACGGGGGCAGTGCCAGCTTTCGTATCATGGCATAGGTGTTTGCCAAGACAGCTTCTTAAGTACCTGTCACATGCATGCCACACGTGTGCCTGTCACTGCTGCTGAACCTGTGGACAGGCGAAACACTCTGCTCGGCGGGCAGCCAAGGTGGGCTTCCGAAGGATAAAACAGAGAGAAATCTCTGTTTCTGGAGCCTGCCTATAAACCTTGTGTAGGTTCCTTAGTTTCCATGCCCTCCTCTGTAAAATGAATCAATTGCTTCTAAGGCCGAGATTTTGAACTCATTAAAGGAAATGACATGGAAAACTCTTAGCAAGGCGCTCTGGTCAAGGTAGGCCTGACCAGAAAACAAAACAAAACGACAACAACAACAACAAAAAAAAAAAACAACTTTTTTCCCTTTTCCTGTGGCAAAAGGTAACAGAGAGAGAGAGAGAGAGAGAGAGAGAGAGAGAGAGAGAGAGAGAGAGAGAGAGAGAAATAGCACAGGAAATGCTAAGCTGCTGGATTCCAGTGAATGAGTGCTCTAAGAGTCCAATGAAGCTGAGATTGAAGGCAGCTGGAATCTACTGGGAAGGGCTGACTAGAAGAAGAGGCCTTCCCTTGCAGGGTGGTTAGATGGGGGCATCCTTTTGCCTCTAATTTTGAAAACGCACACCACAGACGGTTTCAGGGACAGGCATGCTTTACCAGGTTTGGACTTCCTGGGCCAAACAGCCCTACCAAAAGACACAAAGTTACTAAGACCAGCACCGCAGCTGTAAGGAAGCAGAGTGAAATGTGTGCCTGGTTGGATCTGTGGGACCCCGTTTTACATTTTTTTTTTCTCTTCTGGGATCTGTGGCTCCAAGAGGTGCAGTGGTATGATGAAATACAAAATTCTCAGCTGCTGATATCAGCGGAAATGATTAGAAGGGGGTGGGGCGAGGCAGAAATCATCTTTTAGTTCAAATTGTTGTAAATCAGACCAGAAAACTAGGCTATACATTATGCTTTTGTTACTCTGAGAGTTAAATTACAAGGAAATGAACTGTGCATAATAATTTCCTCACGCCACCGACTTCCCTGCTTCTCAGCAAATGCGTTTGCTTCCAAAGCTGGGGGGGGGGGGGGGGGGGGTAACGCGAAGGGCCATCTCTGGGCCAACAGCGCTCCCTAGTGGCTGGTTCGCGCAAGGCGGCTGGAGGGGGCGGCCAGACTGTGGACGCGACCTCCACCTCCTGAACAAAGAGGAGCCTGGGTTAAACACATTGGCCATGCAGATCAGCAGCAGTGCAGTTTCGGTGTCCATAAAGGATTGTTAAGTTCCCATTTTAGTAGTAGTTCTCACAAGCGCCTGTGTTAGGACCTCCACAGCCGAAGCTGGGAGATCCCAGTCAACAACCAGAAATTCTCTCATTCGAAGAGTAGATGAAGGCAGGACGTTCCGTAAAAGCTAATGTGGGTATTTCCGCCCATACCCACCAGTCCACTCACCCTTTGAGCTCTGCATTCCTTCTCAGCTCCATTTTCTAAGGGAGAACATCCCCTGCCGCCGCCGCCGCCACCACCACCCTAATTCCCAACCGCCTGCTAGCCGAATTTCTGCAGAGCCAGAGGGGAAAGACCCAGATTGTTGTGTGGACCTGCAGACCTTGACTGGAATGTATTATTTTTTTGTCTCAGACCAAAGCTTTTTTTTTTTTTTTTTCCTTACATCAGAATTTCAACTCGAGAACTCATAAAGCGACTTCCAACTGGCTAGGTAAACAACAGATAACAGTTTCTGCCCAGGCTTCCCAGGTTTGCCGGGTGACTTAGGGGGCAGCACAGAGGACTCCACCTTCCGCTGCTTGCCCTTGGATGATAACTATGAACACCAAGAGCTGTTGATGCTCTGAACACCCCTGGCACGTACATATTACTTTTTCTGACTCTTAAGTGGACCAAGTTGGGAGGTCACCGTACCATATGACTTCACATTACACTAAGCAAACTCGCTTCTTTCCCCTTCTGGCCCCAGTACAGCTGGAACCCGGTACAAGTGGCTATGGAATAGATGATCTTGTCACGTACCAAAGTCTAATGTCCTGTTGGCCACACACACACACACACACACACACACACACACACACACACACACACACACGGGGAGAGTCTGGGAAGGCTCAATTGTTGGGTTTGCATGGATTCCAGGCCCTGGGTTCTTAATTGGTTTGGAGTCAGTATGCATGTGTGGGAGGCACCTATGGGGTGCAATCCAGACACCAGCCCGCAGATGAAGGCCCGGCATTTAAGTATTACATATGGGCTTAGCCACTGACAGGCTCTCAGCAGAACTTATGGAGAGCCTCATTCATTGTAACAGCAATAGGCTCCATTTTAATGAATCCCCTTGGTAGTACGGTCATCACTCAGACGGGAACAACTGTTATATGGGTCTATGCACCCTCTCGCTGACCTTTCCACCTCCCAGCTGAAACGGAATCCTCCCCATCTCCTACCCCAATTGCACAAAAATTTCATTTTTAAAATGAGTCAATGTGTGTATGGATTAGAGTGCCGTGGGGTTAGGGAGAGACCAGGGCACCAGTGAGCTCTGAGTCTAGTGAAGAAGGTAAGTGGGTCTAGTCGGAGGCACGATTCCCTTCGTAAACACCATGAAATAGAATTTCGTGTAACAAATTAATGTGTGTGTGATTTTTTTTTTCCAAAGCAAGTGCTTTGTTTCTCAGAGCGCGCAAGGCATCACATGCTGCGGTTGCTATGGTAATTACTAGCCTCTGTTGAATAGGGACGCAAGGGGTTACACAGAAAAGATCCAAATGGTGAAAGTGCGTGCTAGAATGAATCAACCCACTTATTTGTAAAAGGTTGCAAGAGGTACTCGAACTAACAAATGAAAGAGGTGGGGGCAGGGACGTGTTATTCACGAGACCGAACCAAACTGCCGTTTTCATCATAGTTATGGAGCTAAACATGCTAAAAGCCCTTGAGACATTTCCCTGCAGGTTTCTCTAGTCAGAAAACAGACTCGTATCTGAAACCAGTACCATCCGATAGAGCAGGATGAACAGTGATAAAGCAGGCACAGCAACAATGATACCCACAAGAGTTATCGTTTATTGAATAAATGTGACGTCTCTATTGCCTTCTTATTTTTATCTTCTTTAACCCACACAACAACCTCAAGAGATAGGCATCCATGTATATTTTTATTTCATTTTCATTTTATTTTGGGAGGGGTCAGTATCATGCCATGTTGCCCATGATGACTTTGAATTCACATCCTCCAACTTCAACCTCCCAAGAAGCTGGGATTAAATGCATGGCCCTCCACTGCTTAACTTACTTTTTTTTCTGTGTGTGTGTGTGTGTGTGTGTGTGTGTGTGTGTTTTATGTATGTGCATGCATGTATGTTCATAAGTGTACAAGTAGTAGGGTCATACATATACAGGTATCCATGTATCCATGTAATATGGAGCCCTCAGGGACTACTCTTTAGATACCATCCATCTCTTGTTTTAGGACAGGGTCTCTCATTGGCCTGACACTCACTGAGTAGACTAGTCTGGCTGGCCAATGAGCCCCACGGATCCACCTGCCTTTGCCTCCTCAGTGCTATGATTACAGAATGTCACCAAGCCCAGAATTTGTATGTGGGATCTGGGGGATAAAGCTCAGGTCCTCATATCGGCAAGCCAAGCACCGTACCACCTGAGTTATCACACTAGCCCCCATTCTACATTTTTAAAAAACTTCTATGAGGCTCCTTGAGGATTTAAAAAGAAATGTGATCGCTCAGTCTTGAAACTGGGGGCAAATGAAGAGCTGAAATATAAAAAGAAAAAAGAAAAAAAACCCTCATCCTAATGCAGAGGACGAAAGGAGGTCAAAAGGAGGAAACTTTCTCATAGGCTTTTGAGATTAGGGGAGAATCAAGTCTTCTTCTACAGAGGTAGCAATTCAGACGGGACCCAAGACTAGAGTGTTCTGCCCAGAACCAGGGAGGAGGGATGTTCTAAGCCCAAAGAACTCCAGGGGAAGTCTGTCTTGGCCCCAGCCTACCTGCTTCCCTGAATATTCGAGTTCTCTGTGGTGAGAAGACCACAGAGGGAGCTGGGATAGTGAGTGGCCAGGAGAGAAGGGCTGGGTTGAGAGGGCTTCACAACCCCACAAAAGGGGTTGAACCTGAAGGTCGTGTGGTTCACTCTCGGGAGCACAAGCCAGTGTGTGTGTTAGGAAGCTCCCTTTGCCCAGATAATACAGAATGGATCTCAAGGGGTAGAGAATGGATAGGAGAGATCTGACGGGAGGCTGGGTGAAACACAAGAGTAGATGGAGAATTCAGGAGATGCAGGAGGGGAGGAGGGGACAGATGCATGGCTGTGGGGAAGCAGGGGTGGGTCCACAGGACTTGGTACAGTGTCTAAGGGAGAGAGAGGAGGCCACAAAGCATCCGAAAAATGACATTACCTCTACGTCACAATGGGAGAATTGAGGTAAAGAAAAATTCAGTTACTCGCTCAGGAGGGGCAGGAGTGAAATTCGAATCCATGCCCCATGCATCCAGAACCTCTGATTTTCATTTTGTCACCTCATGGTTGAAGAGATTTCCTACCCAAATCAGCCCAAGCCAAAGAGCACTCACTGCTCACAAATGGAGAAAGCAAAAGAGCTGGGTGTGAGCGATCGAGAAATCCAGAAGCAGACTGGGCAGTCCATACACGAACAGCCAACATTTCGAAGAGGAATGCAAACCAAACCCCAAATAAATTCTAGGCCGATTCTCTCTTGCCTTAGCCTCTTCTAGAAATGTCACTCTGCGCGTAATTCACTGAAGACATCGTCATGACAGTTCATCTGTGTAGCCAGGTCTGGCGACACAGGCCTGTAACCCCAGCTACTCAGAAGGCAGAGGATGGAACGTCACAAGCTCAAAGCTTGCCTGGGAAATTTATGGAGACCCTCCCCGCTTCCAGTCCCATCCCCAAACAAAGGGAAAAGAGGCCTGGGATATAGCTCCATGGCAGAGTGCATGCCTAGCATGTGTGAGACCCTAAATTCACTCCCAGCCCAAACAAAGAAAAATTGGGGGAAACAGAGGGTGAGAAAGAAGAAAAAGATACTACTTTTTTTTTTTTTTTTTAATTTATGGAGAGCTAGGTAACTCCCCGGGCTTTTATTTTATCTTAAGCTGTGGAGTTTTATTCTGGGTCTGTGGTTTTAGTCTATTTCATACTGCCTCACATCTGATGCCATTGCTTGAAATTATTTCTAAAATCTGTAAAAAATATTTTTAACTTCTACTTTCTAGGACTCTAAACGGAGGCCATGCCATTCATCTGCTTGCTATAGGGCATAAGTAAAGATAAATACAGCAGCGGTGGGCTTGAGTTTTCACAGCCTCGTATCTTTATCTGGAATGTCCAAAACACTGAGGACCAACTAACACGTACAAGAGACTAACCAGACTATTACAGCTTCGTTTCTGTTGCTGTGATAAAAACACTCTTACAGAAGCAACCTTAGGGGACAAAGGACATATCTGGCTGGCCGTTCCAAGTTACAGTCCATCAATGCTGGAAAGTCAAGGACAGGACCGGAAGCAGATAGTCACACCTGTAGTCAAGTAGGGAGAGAAGACTGGCATGTGTTCTGTGCTCAGCTCACTTTCTACACTCTTACACAA